ATAATGAACTCAATGACTGGAATATGGAATATGGAAGTCTTATATAAGATGCAATATTCCATGCATGTCAATTCACAACAAATTAGAGTGTCATCCACTAAAGTTATGTAAGTTCTCAGGGAAGGCATTTAGGCTACTAATATCAAGTCTTGAATACCAAACATCACATAATTACAGTGCCACAACAACTTAGCAAAACCTTTTGTAGTGTAACTTAAAATACATTTCACCATGAGACTTTGACCCAAATACGTGTCTGAGTCAATCATAAATGCATTAAAATGCAAGTTTTGTCATTTAAAGAGTTCATTCAGCATAAAAAAAAGCCTGGTTATGACAGAGCCTGGTTATGACTTTGCATATAGCCATTTCCTTACATAAAAGGTAATTTGTGAAAGCATATTTAAGTGTATGGAACTCATTAGAATAGAGTGACCCCTAATTTAGTATAATTGTCAATTAAAGTTGGTCTGTAAAACTATATGTTGCCTTTTTAAGACCTCTTCATCATGGGGGAAAACATCTTTGTGTTATGATTTTATATGAGCACTGAAATGTCAATCTCGGGCATGTATTCTATTGTCATGTCTTTGATTTACTCCAAAGTAAAAATTTAAATACAATCCTCATGTAGATTGGTGGAAGGGGATTAAAGAGGCAATAGGAAGCTTGTTTGTCTAACTTCACATGTTGTACATTACAAGTGGACAATGGTAATTGAAGTTGACTGCACCAGACCGTTCTACTTATGTCTCCCCGTGTGTCTCTCTCTGTGCCCTCCATGTGGATGGGACTCCTGCAGTACTTGGCTCGTTTTGTTCCCCTCTTTGTAACTCAATGCAGAGACTGGGTGTCATTTGTCCTGCCCTGTCCCCTTAGGGCACACCACTCTTACTCTAACAGATTTCCCACAACTGCAAATTGGACAACTCGGCCCCAGGAGATTTCCATTGGCTTCTTTCTCCTTCATGTGAATTATTTATTTACTTGTTGTCAGTGACGGAGTGCTGGAATGTTTTGTATGTGTGTAGCTGTTCTCTGATTCTCCAGCCATCCCGGGTCGATCCTCACACTGTAATGATAAGACGTGAGAACTGAAGTACACATTTCATGTTGTGTCATACATGCCACTGTGGCCTTTGAATTATTTAAACTGTCTCAGGAGAAAACTACAGCTCACCCTGCCAGCCCACTCCACCCCAGGAAGGAGGTTCAGTTAGACACAAAATTCTATCCTTGAGACCAGATAGACTTCTACTTTATTTCGGATCATTAAATGTAACAAAAAGCTGCCTTTCGGCGGCTGCATGTCGCTCCTCTATAACTCATCCCTGACAGTGTGTTCTGATTTGCTTTACAGATAAAGCAGAGACACATTGTCAGGGAGACTACAGGTCAGCTGAACTTTAAATCCCTCCTGGAGTGGCTGGCAGCCCTGGGAGTTATCGATCCCGAACCTCATTCCAGCATGCTCTATCACTTCATACAGCTACAGTAAGCGGTTGGCGGGTGGCAGTTCACACATAGTGTACTTTTCCAAACTCCATATTCAGGAGAACTTCATAGCTATACAGTGCACATTCAGAAGATTTAATTGTAATGTTATTTATCATTAATGAGACAGGTCATACATCAACAAATGTTAGCTGTGGCTCTCAACTGGAAGTGTCACCATGCAGCATAATACACATGGGATAGGAATGTGAGTCAAGAGGATAAGTGGCGTTTAAACTCATTATTTAGCTGTAATTAAAAGATGGCAGACAATTGCCTAACCCACCGTACATCCCGTTCACACTCAGTAGAGCGGTGCAGCAGAATGCAGAGTGCTCTGCACTACTAGCGCCGTAATGACTGTCTTTATATTTGGGTACGACCCTCAAGGCCATAGATGCGACCCCAGACACTTTGGCGCCCCACTTATGATGGTCCTCTTTATGTTTGGGTGCCAACCTCTGAGTACTAAGGGCCGATGACACCCCATTAGAAGGAGCTCCTTTATGTGAGTGTGTGACCCCAGAACACAGGACCTTGAAGAGAGCAGCTCCTCTGGCGTGTTGTTGATTGCAAGTTCTCACTTGTTCAGTCTGTGAGCTCTTTATGTCCATAAATGAATGTCGTGTTTCAGCAGAAGGAAGCTCATGCATTGCTATTAAATAATCCCTTGATTCTGTATGTTTCACATTGACAAATACAGGTAACTGCCAAAATAATGGAAACAATTGAGTAAATGAGGGATACAAAGTATATTGAAGCAGGTACTTCCACACAGGTGTGGTTCCTGAGTTAATTAAGCAATGAACATTCCATCATGCTTAGGGTCATGTATAAAATGCCCAGTTTTCCATTAGTTTGGCTACCATGACTAGAAGAAGAGATCTCAGTGACTTTGAAAGAGGGGTCTCAAAGGAGCATGGGGGTTTAAAGTGTTTGTGTTTGTGTGTGTGTGTGTCTCAGTCACCAGATCTCAACCCTATTGAACACTTATGGGAGATTCTGGAGCGGTGCCTGAGACAGCGTTTTCCACCACCATTAACAAAACACCAAATTATGGAAGAATGGCGTCGCATCCCTCCAAGAGTTCCATACACTTGTAGAATATATGCCAAGGCACATTTAATCTGTTCTGGCTTCTCGTGGTGGCCCAACACCCTACTAAGACACTTTTTGTTGGTGTTTCCTTTATTTTGGCAGTTACCTGTAGGTTCGTTCACGTAGGACAGATGTTGTAACTGTGAATTAACTTATAATCTCCTGCTTTATAGCATACATCCTGCGACGTAGCCTACAGTACATCCAGTCAAGATACTCTACATGGTGTCCGTGATGGTCCCCTCAATAGATCTGGACTCAGATAAACAAGTCTGTGTGTCCCGGAGTGGTAAAAAACAATCTCAAAGGAGAGAGAGTTAGTGTTACAATTCCCAGCCTCCTCACAGTGCCCTTCATCCTTCTTAACCAACCCCACTATGAACTCCTCCACCCCCCCACCACAATCAACTCCAACACCTTACCTAACACATGACCGACCTGCAGCCTCACTCCCACTATAGTACCGGGAGGAAAAGCTGTGAAAATGAAGACGTTTCTTCTTATTTCACACTCAGCGCTTGATCGCTGGCCTCTTATTATGCCCCATTTGCTTCCCTCCACTGGCTCTGATGAAAGCAGGGCAGCAAAGCCGTGACAGGACTAAAAGGGGCCCTCCATCAAAACACATTTGTTTGGGGTCTTTTTAGCCTGGCCCTATTCCCCCTTCCCCTAGTCACTATCTCTCATTAGTGGCTACTGCCCCACCCCCAACCCCAGTTCACATTGTTTAAGTTTGATGGAGCAATGCTTGGGGCTCAGAACAGGAGAACGTCACACTCTGTCCTTTCCCGTTCTGTGAAGGGAGGTGGAAAGGTCAATGGCTGCCCATGACCCCGGATGACTGTGTCCATTTGGATGGGGAATAGATGGGACGACCAACACATTTCCCCTCCCAGAATGTCTCTCAACCATAAATCAAGGCCCCACATTTGGGTCAACGTTAACATTCATACACTTACAGTGTTAATGTGTATATTTTATTGCACATTAATGGACCATATCTGATACATTCTTGTAATTATAAAAGATTTGTAGATGTGTGTCATCAAAATGAAGACATATAGCTACCATCTGGTTGAATCATATCCAAGGTCTCTTTAATCCTTGTCTACAAACACAATCCTAATAGTTTTGAGTTAGTGCCAGTCTTACAAGTTTTTTTTCTTCATACCTTTCTCCTTCAAATCCCTCCAGTTACTAAAGTTTTTACATCTAACAACTGTTATTAATTAACTGTACATATTTGGCATGATGTCTGTCTGTCAGGAGAGAATAATGGGGAAATGGGAATAAAGCAGAAAAGCTCTAATTAGTCTGCGAGTGTTTGATAGAACGTGGGTCTTAAACATGAGGGCTGACTCGCACCTCCTTACCCGGCAAAACTCTGTCAGAATCCTTGTTAAGTGGGCATTAATTTAGGAAATGATGTCAGCTGTGAAGTGAAGAGTGAAGAGGGGTGAGAGGGTGGGGTAAAGGCAGCACGGGGTGCGGCTGAATAGTGTGAAGCGGCTATGGTGTTAAGAAAAGCTTTCTCTTCAGATGAACTTGTCAGGTCAAGGTCAGAGTTGTTGGAGTCCTTTGGAGTAACAGCAGAGGTTGCATATGAACGCACCACTATATCTGCTGTGTGTTTGTCTGTGTGTGTGTGTGTGTGCCTGTGTTGATGTGTGTGTGTGTTTGTGTTGAAATGAAAAGTGTCCCTAGCACACGAACTCAAATATGCTCTCCATTTGCAGATAATTACCTGTGTAATGTGATTACCCCAGTTCTATGTTTTATTGGAGTGTGACTCAGATTAGGGTTAAATTCATGTCATGCGTGTGTTTCGTTACAATGACTGATCTGTACAGTAACTGATATGTTGGTGCTGGACTAATTTGGAGATTTGCCTTTTGTAGTATTCAATATCACATTGTAATTCAAAAAAATGAAAATTGGGTGCATCACCCATGCATTGGAGAGAATGATTTTTTTCTCAGTATTTAGACCGGGGGATTGTTTTTCCTGTATTTGTTACCCTTGAAGAGCTTCTTCCGACAGTGACGTTATGCAAATAGTTTCCTTTTTTCTCTTTGGCCAGAGGACATAGAGGAGCCAGAGAGGAGGTTGCACTATAATGCCTTGCTGGCTGTGTAATGAGCAGAGTTTAACACCTGTTCTCTTCTACTGGCTAAATAATGCATGGTCCTGTCCCAGAGCAGAGTACAGAGAGAAACAAACAGGCCAGGTTCATGCAGGGAGCCAAGTGGGATCTCCAGCGGGCACTGACATATGACAACCCCTCACTGCGGGCCTACCTCTGTGCCAGCAATACAATGCCAGGGAGCAGATTATACCCTGCCCATAATATACCCTCCCCATCTCCTGCCCTGTAATCTCAGCCCTGACTGGGAGCACTGCTGCTGGGAATGGCCCTGTCTTTATCTATGGTTAGATTGTAGTGTAGCCATGATGCTGGGTACACAATTGCCATTGGGTTATGTGTGTGAGGTAGAGGTAAAGAATTAGAGGTATTGATGTGTTACTAAACCTACCATTCAAAATATTCGGTCAGCATGTGGTCACCACAGGGACATATTATCAAAGTGTATGTTGTGTCTACATTTGAATAACCCTTTACATCTGTGTCCTTCTTCCACAGTGGGAGGAGGTGAGTGGATACGACGAGAACATGAACACCATCCGCACCTATCAGGTGTGCAACGTGTTCGACAACAACCAGAACAACTGGGTCCGCACCAAGTACATCCGGCGCCGGGGTGCACAGCGCATCCACGTGGAGATGAAGTTCTCCGTGCGAGACTGCAGCTCCATCCCCAATGTGCCCGGCTCCTGTAAAGAGACTTTTAACCTGTACTACTATGAGTCGGACTCGGACACTGCCAACAAGGTGTCCCCGGCCTGGATGGAGAACCCCTGGATCAAGGTGGACACCATCGCAGCCGACGAGAGCTTCTCCCAGGTGGACCTTGGTGGCCGGGTGATGAAGATCAACACAGAGGTGCGGAGCTTTGGCCCCGTGTCCAAACATGGCTTTTACCTGGCCTTCCAGGACTACGGCGGCTGCATGTCGCTCATCGCCGTACGTGTCTTCTACCGGAAGTGTGCCCGCGTCATCCAGAACGGGGCCGTGTTCCAGGAGACCCTGTCAGGGGCGGAGAGCACCTCTCTAGTGGCATCACGTGGCGTGTGTATTCCCAACGGGGAGGAGGTGGACGTGCCCATCAAGCTCTACTGCAACGGGGATGGCGAATGGATGGTGCCCATTGGGCGCTGCATGTGCAAGGCTGGCCACGAGGCTGTAGAGAACGGGACTGTGTGTAGAGGTAAGGGCCACCCTCATCCCTCTCTCTTCAACACTGTTAGCCAGACTAAATGGACATGCTAACCTTACAAAGCTAGTCAGCTGTAGATTCATAACAGAGTAATCCAGACAGCAGAGAATACAAACGGTACTTAATACAGTACCTGTCTTCATACTGCACTTCATGCTTCTCTAGGGATCAGGTTATTCCCTATGAACAGAAAGTCTAAGCTTGTAAAATATGGCCATGTATATTGAATAAGTAAACAGGAGGATGGGATGATCACACATAACAGTGGATAGTACATGTTGGCGCTACGGTCCCATTTTCATATGAATGATCACTCCACAGCTTTTCCAATAACAAACGGGTGAATATTACTTCACATATGTAACAGATGTGCTTCAGGTTATGGCTTACAGTGCCTTGCAAAAGTATTCATCCCCCTTGGCGTTTTTCCTATTTTGTTGCATTACAACCTGTAATTTAAATTGATTTTTATTTGGATTTCATGTAATGGACATACACAAAATAGTCCAAATTGGTGAGGTGAAATGAAAAAAATAACGTTGTTTTTAATGACTTGTTTCAATAAATTATACAAAATAAATAACGGAAAAGTGGTGCGTGCATATGTATTCACCCCCTTTGCTATGAAGCCCTTAAATAAGATCTGGTGCAACCAATTACCTTCAGAAGTCACATAATTAGTTAAATAAAGTCCACCTGTGTGCAATCTCAGTGTCACATGATCTGTCACATGATCTCAGTATATATACACCTGTTCTGAAAGGCCCCAGAGTCTGCAACACCACTAAGCAAGGGGCACCACCAAGCAAGCGGCACCATGAAGACAAAGGAGCTCTCCAAACAGGTCACGGACAAAGTTGTGGAGAAGTACAGATCAGGGTTGGCTTATAAAAAAATATCTGTAACTTTGAACATCCCACGGAGCACCATTAAATCCATTATAAAAAAATTGAAAGAATATGGCACCACAACAAACCTGCCAAGAGAGGGCCGCCCACCAAAACACACGGACCAGGCAAGGAGGGCATTAATCAGAGAGGCAACAAAGAGACCAAAGATAACCCTGAAGGAGCTGCAAAGCTCCACAGCGGAGATTGGAGTATCTTTCCATAGGACCACTTTAAGCCGTACACTCCACAGAGCTGGGCTTTACCGAAGAGTGGCCAGAAAAAAGCCATTGCTTAAAGAAAAAAATAAGCAAACACGTTTGGTGTTCGCCAAAAGGCATGTGGGAGACTCCCCAAACATATGGAAGAAGGTACTCTGGTCAGATGAGACTAAAGTTGAGATTTTTGGCCATCAAGGAAAACGCTATGTCTGGTGCAAACCCAACACCTCTCATCACCCCGAGAACATCATCCCCACAGTGAAGCATGGTGGTGGCAGCATCATGCTGTGGGGATGTTGGGTTTGCGCCACTCGTCTCCCGAGTGGCGCAGTGGTATAAGGCACTGCATCGCAGTGCTAGCTGTGCCACTAGAGATCCTGGTTCGAATCCAGGCTCTGTCGTAGCTGGCTGCGACCGGGAGACCCATGGGGCGCCGCACAATTGGCCCAGCGTCGTGCAGGGTAGGGGAGGGAATGGCCGGCAGGGATGTAGCTCAGTTGGTACAGCATGGCGTTTGCAACGCCAGGGTTGTGGGTTCGATTCCCACGGGGGGCCAGTATGAAAAAATAAAATAATGATATATGCACTCACTAACTGTAAGTCGCTCTGGATAAGAGCGTCTGCTAAATGACTAAAAATGTAAATGTAAATGTTTTTCATTGGCAGGGACTGGGAAACTGGTCACAATTGAAGGAATGATGGATGGCGCTAAATACAGGGAAATTCTTGAGGGAAACCTGTTTCAGTCTTCCAGAGATTTGAGACTGGGATGGAGGTTCACCTTCCAGCAGGACAATGACCCTAAGCATACTGCTAAAGCAACACTTGAGTGGTTTAAGGGGAAACATTGAAATGTCTTGGAATGGCCTAGTCAAAGCCCAGACCTCAATCCAATTGAGAATATGTGGTATGACTTAAAGATTGCTGTAGACCAGCAGAACCCATCCAACTTGAAGGAGCTGGAGCAGTTTTGCCTTGAAGAATGGGCAAAAATCCCAGTGGCTAGATGTGCCAAGCTTATAGAGACATACCCCAAGAGACTTGCAGCTGTAATTGCTGCAAAAGGTGGTTCTACAAAGTATTGACTTTGGGGGGGTGAATAGTTATGCACACTCAAGTTTTCTGTTTTTTTGTCTTATTTCTTTTTTGTTTCACAATAAAACATATTTTTTATCTTCAAAGTGGTAGGCATGTTGTGTAAATCAAATTATACAAACCCCCCAAAAATCAATTTTAATTCCAGGTTGTAAGGCAACAAAATAGGAAAAATGCCAAGGGGGTGAATACTTTCGCAAGCCACTGTATATACTCTATGGCAGAATATGGCTTTTCTTTTTAAGTGGGCAGATATAGAACATGTCTAGTTCATTTCTAAAGCACTCTAAAGGAGGGGACTGTCAGATCACAGGTGTTTGGACTCCAGTCACATAGGTCTGTCATAACTGGGAGAGACTTTTCGTTCAGAATATATTACTTTCAACACTCTACACCAGGGATCATCAACTAGATTCAGCCGCGGGCCAATTCTATCTTGAGCGGATGGTCAGGGGGCCGGAACATAATTATAAATAATTTATAGACTGCAAATTGACCGCAAGAATCCCAAACAGATATAATATTTGACTAAAACATAATCATTTCAAACCATGCTTACACAATCACATACTGCATATCTCTATTATCTCTGGGAATATTTTGGAACAGATTTCCAAAATTAAAATCATTTGGAGCAGATTTTCTGGTGTTTTTACAGTCTTTTATGTCCAACAATAAGTAAAATAAAATAACTTGTGGTGCCTAATGAAATCCGCCAGCTGGGGAACCCTGCTCTACACAGTGTAATGCAATCTTACATTTCCATTCAAATCTACACAGAATAGAAACCATTTCTCTGACTGGGAGAATTCTATTAAATGCATGACTTTACCCAAAGGGAAGCTGTAATGCTAATGCATGTAGGATGTGTGAATATATTACATTGAAACATTTTGTCATAGGTCTTCTCATTCCATATTCCAACTCTGGTGGAAAAGGCTTTAAAGAGGTTCATATTTCAGTTTCTCACAGTGGAGGCTTAAGTTGATTTGATTTTATAAGCGCATTGATACTGTTTCTAAAGAAAACACAAACAACCAAAATAAGATCAAAGCTGAATAGGAGTATCTATTGCTTTAGGTGCAATGCAGTGTTGAGTCAGTAAGCTACCACACACACACCCACTGTGTACACCAAAAGTGTATGTCTTTCATGTACAAGGACAAGAGAGGATTTGTTCCAAACGCCTACCTCCTACCTTTATTCTCTTCGACTGGAATCACTCGTGATCCAGATCGATTTACCATTTCACAACATCACTGTGCTCAACCTCACCTGTGCTGCTACGCCCGTCCGCTGTGCAGCAGGTGGTATTGGCTGGATGTGCTCAGAGAGCCTGATGGCTAACAGCAGAACAGGGGAGTATCATCCTGCAGCTTGCAGCCTGCAGACAGGGCCCACGCTGACACAGCCATGCAGCCAGCCGGCAGGCACAATACACCACCCACCTGTGTTCCAGCCGCCTGTGTACTGCTGCCTCTGTAATTAGCCCACAGCCCCCAGCAGCTCTGGCTCAGGCTCTGCAGAGAGGAGGGAAGGCGATGGGCGCTAGCCCGTCTTGCTCCTCACAAACAGTACCTCCGATCAATGACTGCTAATGAGGACAGGCACAGGCCCTCCTTAAGGAATACGCACCAATAAGAGGCACACGGAGGATAGCTGCTCTAATTTGAAACCCTGCATAATTACATAAATCTGGTTGTTTTTTGACCTACATGGAAGTCGGATTGGAACGTCCCAGGGGCATCCTCAATCACTGTGCTTTTGTATGAAACTGGATTATATAATTAAATTGATGGCCATTCAATGGAAATTGACATTTTTCAATCACTCACTGCTAGAAGGCTGGGCGGTGGAAGTGTTTCACCTTCGGCACATGTTGGGGTATATCCAGTTCCTTATCACCCTCCTATTTCTCCAACAGGGGAAGAATCAGAGTTAATCACAGAGGCTAGCCATCCAAGGTGCCTTGCTCTGAAGAAAAGCTTCATTCATTGCAGTCTTTCACCTTCAACATCCCCTTTGCTATACTGAGAGAGTGTGTGTGAGGCCAAAGCTCACACACACATACATCGCTTCCCAGTGTGCACAAGCAGACATTTTTCCATTTTTCTCAGTGTCGCTAAGTATTCACTGATCACATAGCCACACTCAGCGGACTATTAAAGCTTTATGAGCAGGATGCATTATCTTAGCAAAACGCTGGCAGGGCCCATACAATAGTCATGAGACTCAGTGCAAACAAGGGGATATGTGTGTGCTACAAAATAAGAAAATCAAATCATTAAAGATGAAAAAGGTTATTACTCGCGGTCGGCCCAGTGTATTAGATTTTTGATCGAGGCCTGCCATCAATCGTTATGTGTGTAGTCTTTCTCCACATTGAAAGTTGATATTGCAGTGTGAGACTGTGGCCAGTGATTACTTATTTTATGAAAATGTGCATTTCCCTGCTCATGTTTGGATAATGAATTGATTAGTAAAAGATGCCCTCTTAGTGAGTCTTCAGTATCCTCTTTCAAAGAGGATTCTGGAACCGTAGACAGAAAATAATATAACAGCCAAGATGAAAGAGACGTCTTGCTCCAATATTAATAATGTGACGCTTTGTTCCAATACCTCAGCAACAAAACATGTCATTACACATGTATCAATTAAATCCTTGGCAGGGTCCTCCACAAATAATCACACTTTGAAATGAAATTGATCCAAATATTGACAATAGACAGCGCTGTTACTTAAATTGCATGGCTTGCTTCTGTGATCGTCTTTCTAACCAGATTAAGTTACTTCTCATAGAAGTGACAGTAGCAAATGAACCGCACCAGGGTCTCTGAACAGAATGGGCCCTGAAAGGAGAGCTCTGATTTCCCTCTGAGCCCAAGGAGATGGTGCACCACAGAGACACACACATGGGGTCCTGTTCATCCTTGCCATTCAGTTAAAATAAAAATACTTGCTCTCTCTCTAGAAGGATACAATGAGAGCCATGTTCAGGGGTGGAAATGCAAACTTTCTAACAATGCCCATGTGTATTTTTTATTGTAATCTGATCATCTAACCCCATGCTATTGTGGCTTTAATGGTCTTGACTGTGAGAGTGTGTCTCATATTATGGAGTAATGAAGGTTCAGTTAGAGACGCAAAAGTCACATTTACAGTAACATTGTTTCTAACAGCACTAAATAACCCAGTAGTTATTTAACTAGTGCCGTTTGAGGAAGGGGAATGCTGTAAAATCACCACTGTAGTTTACATAGGCATGTCCCGCTGCACAGATATAAAAGGATGCATTCAACACACCACAACAAATAGTTCTGCTTGACATTCATGACAGTTGAGGGTGTAGAATGTGAGGAACATGAGACTACATGGTCTCTCCCAATGACATGCAGAAAAAAAGCCCAGTGTGAAACATGAGACAGTATGTCAGCTCACAGACTGTTACCTGAGAGAGGCCATGGGGGAATGGGATGGACATGCTACGTTCAGCACAGCTCACAGATTCAAAACATTCACTAATGCGCCATCAGAAAGAGTCAGTATCAAGAATCAGTTTTAAAATGGACAATTTCCCCTCATAGCAAACATTCTGCATGGTCCTCAAACCAGTTTATGGTGGGCTTGGTTGCTTTCGCTCTGCCAACCCCTAAAGATATAAATCTGACAACAGATTCCAGGTCAGATGATGAGTATTCAAGGTCAGGGTGTGGAGAAACAGGAAGGTGTTTCAAATCTCCTCTTGGATGTGGTGAGGTCTCTGTACTGTCAGTAGTATGGGCTGAGCTGCCTGGTGCTAGCTCTGCTGTTCCACATCCAAGACAAGAAGATTAACGAGGAGAGCTTTAGTAAACCCTCAGTCAAATGTAATGGTAGATAAAGGGAGTCAGAGGGGATTGAGTGGGAAGGTGGGCCCTGGGATGGCAGAGCATGATTGCATGGAAAAAGAAAAGGAGAGGAGGAGGGAAGCTTTAAGCCAGGAAGTGACTCCCTAACCCACTGACAGAATCCCCGGCTCTGCATCCACAGAGGGTTTAAGGGTGGAAATCAGCATGGCACAGACACACCTCTGCTGCGCCTGCCTTTATTTCCCAGGATGCCCTTAATGATAGCTCTAATTGACTAACAGCACGTGTGGGGAATACACAGCCATGTGTACGCGTAGACACCTCTCCCCTGCGCTCTAGAACCAGGCAAACGCAAAACAAACACACCCCCTCAAGGCTTTTGCTGCACTGGATTCTTAGACGAGAAAACCTTTAAAATCACTACATACTGTAGACACAATAATTTTACATTGAAGCTTATCCCATACATGTAATAGAAAGGGATTATACTGTTGCAGATTAAATCCTTTTAGTATGCACGTAAGGAATCCACATTTACGTCCACTCAGTATGTAATTCATCACAATATTTGACTGACAAGTACCATACAAAATACTAGTTGATGTTTTAAAATGGATGCTTCAATTGAAGATTTGTCTCATGATTTGAGGGGCTGTTATACTGTAGGTCGATGGTGTGGTCTGTGAACCTGAGGTAGATAGTGTAGCAGCAGAAGGGGAACATTGGAGCTGTGGGACATGTCTTAGCCAACCACAGAGACTCTAGGGAGCAGTCACACTCCTTTATTCCTTGTTCTCAGCTGTGATGGGATTTCAGCCTGACCAGGTATTTTCTTTGTCTTTGTCTCCGTCTCTTTGAGCGCAGCACACATCTAAACAGCAGACTACACAGAGCAGTAATCATTTACTCCCCTCTCCACACACACACACACCCACACAAACACAGAACATATCATCCCTTTTCTCCCAACACATCCATCACATAGGAATGTGTTAACTCGAGGTGAGATGTCTCTGAAGCGCATCCAGCTCAGAGATCACGGCCTATTCACCATGTAAACCTGTTCCATATGGCCATGTGCGTGTTGGGTCCTACCCGATATGGCTCCTCATGCGGTGGTTCCAATCCCTTGTCTGTCCTTGTTATCCCACGCCATCTCTGGAATGCCACGCTCCTTTTATCTTGACGCTGCAGTAGGGTTACCCAGTGCCTGGCTCTGCTTCTGAACACCTCGACACTGTGGCCCCTCCTGGCCCTGGGTCCCCCATGCTTCAGACAGTGGTCTGATGGTCTGGTGTGAGAGAGGTATAGGAGAAGGTGGTCTGAACCCCTGGTTCAGACAGCCTTCCCTCTGGACAAGCCATTTTGCTACTGAGACAGGACGGAGCCTTCTCCATACAAGCCCCATGTGCTCCTTCAGAAGTCTTCATTCATGTCCTGTTAGAGGCTTCACTAAATTCCATCAGCAAACAACCAGGAAGTGGATGGATTGTGTGTCTGACTGACAAAACATCAAAATAAGAGCTACAGTTGAAGCGACCTTGTTTTAACAGACTATACTGTAGACTTACAGTATACAGTAACTCATGCAGAATGCTTTGTATACAGTTGGTCTGTGCACGGAGAAAGCTGCTCTCCATTCCTGACATAGAGCTGCTCTCCATTCCTGGCATAGAGCTGCTCTCCAATCCTGACATAGAGCTGCTCTCCAATCCTGACATAGGGCTGCTCTCCATTCCTGACATAGAGCTGCTCTCCATTCCTGGCATAGAGCTGCTCTCCATTCCTGACACAGGGCTAATGAATGTACCATGTGTGTTATGTGGCCATAGTGTCCCAGAGATGAGCCCAGTTGTTCTCACACAATTGACCCCCAGTCGCTTACTGAAGGGTAAACCCCAGATCGTGTTTCACCCCGTGCTGTCATCCAATCTCATGGAACATCTTTCATGGGATGACGTTACACTAAACATAAAGGCGTTAAATGTAGAGGCATGCATGGGCCTGGACACGAGAGGCTTAAAGTGCTGCCTAACAAAGATTGGTAAAGACAAAGGGATATGATTCTTAAACAGATTACAATACTAATTTAGAGGTTGCGTTTGGAAGACAGAGCGAAGTGACTTTACATTTACATTACATTTTAGTCATTTAGCAGACGCTCTTATCCAGAGCGACTTACAGTTAGTGAATACATTTTTTATTTAATTTTTTTATACTGGCCCCCCGTGGGAATCGAACCCACAACCCTGGCGTTGCAAACGCCATGCTCTATCAACTGAGCTACATCCCTGCCGGCCATTCCCTCCCCTACCCTGGACGACGCTGGGCCAATTGTGCGCCGCCCATGAGTCTCCCGGTCGCGGCCGGCTGCGACAGAGCCTGGATTCGAACCAGGATCTCTAGTAGCACAGTTAGCACTGCGATGCAGTGCCTTAGACCACTGCGCCACTCAGGAGACGCAGTGGTCTACATGACTTACAGATATAGGATCTTAATTTGATCACCCTGTTGCAGGAGAACTTTCCGGCAATGCAGGAAATGTAAAACTTGTAGTGTATTTGTAGTCCACTTGATTTTCCCTTATGTAAAATGTATCAACCCCTACAAAAATCTCCATGAATTATAATCCACATAATAATTCACATTTCCTGTTGCTGCAGGATTCTGCTGTAGCAAACTGGCTCAAATTAAGATCTTACAT